TCCCCTCAATTAAACAAATTAGAATTTAAATAAATTGTAATTTTACACAACTAATTGGTGCTAGTTTATCTATACAAAAGACCAGAAGACTCATTCCAAATTCCAAATGCGAAATTCCAAATTCCAAATTCCAAATTCCAAATGCGAAATTTCAAATTTCAAATTCCAAATTCCAAATGCGATCTTATAATGTGGTCGTATATTGTCGTCGCCCCGTCCGTCCGCCCGTCCGCCCGTCTGTCCGGCTAAAGTTAATATCCGATCGACTATAAATTTATACACAGTGTCATGAGACGAAGAAGCCTATTGATTTTCAGGGATTTCCGATTATTACTGCCAGAGTTATGGCCCTTGATCACTTCAAAAAATATCGTGGACGCTCTTGAGGCCAAAGTAAATATCCGATTGACTTTAAATTTATACACAGTATTTAAGGTCGTGAGACGAAGAATCCTATTGATTTTCAGCTATTTCCGATTATTACTGCCAGAGTTATGGCCCTTGATCCCTTAAAAAATCTTGTGGACGTTCTAAAGGCCAAAGTAAATATCCGATTGACTTTAAATTTATACACAATATTTAAGGTCGTGAGACGACGAAACCTATTGATTTTCAGCCATTTCCGATTATTACTGCCAGAGTTATGGCCCTTGATCACTTCAAAAAATCTTGTGGACGCTCTGGAGGCTAAAGTGAATATCCGATTGACTTTAGATTTATACACAGTGTTTAAGGTCGTGAAAGAAAAAAGTCTATTGATTTTCAACGATTTCCGATGATTACTGCTAAAGTTATGGCCCTTAATCACTTTGAAAAATCTTGTGACGCTCTAGAGGTTAATGTTATCATCCGCTTGACTTCAGATTGATACTGCAGAGTTTAAGGTCATGAGACGAACAAGTATAATATATTGATTTTCATTGAATTTTGATAACTTGAACAGCTAAATCCATGATATTAAATGTTTCGTATACTAAACGTTAGCATGGGGCAAAACTTTATAAAAATCAACCAAATTCTAATGATTTTCTGATAATTACTTAACTAGTTGTTACTCTTAATCAGATTTTAGTGTATTATAAATGTTTCATTACCGCAAAAAGTAAAAATATGCCGCAACTCTTGTTGACTGCCCGGACGATGATGATTGTAATGTCACGTGATTATGTCGAATTTGGAATTTGCAATTTCGCATTTGGAATTTGCAATTTCAAATCTAATAACTTGGAGAGAGAGAGAGAGAGAGAGAGAGAGAGAGAGAGAGAGAGAGAGAGACATGGTGTTTAAAGTCTACTCGACACAAACTAGGTCATTTCGGGACTAACATATGTTTTTTAATTTTATTTCAATAATTCGCTTGCGCATAGGGGTCTTTGGCAGTGGAAGGAAACCAGAGAAAACCCACGAGGCTGGACGGGCGACCCTACTCCTTGTCACGTACAACCGGGGATTTGAAACTCTGCCAGTTTATTCAATGACAGACCGTATGATACAGCGCGCGCGTGCTAACCATTTGGCCATCCACCCCCCCCCCCCTAATAATTTGGAACGGGTGTTTATCCGGCCCAGGCATCAGCTAGTTAAACTAGCACTAATTACTGTAATTAGTTGTGTAAAATTACAATTTATTTAAATTCTAATTTGTTTAATTGATGGGGGCTGCCAATTTGCTATTTGATTCATTTGATTGGTAAGACATGAATTTCGCATTTGGAATTTGGAATTTGGAATGAGCCTTCTGGGCTTTCGTAAGAACCTCTCGTTAGGATTATGCAGGAGCAACTTTTAAAGGAACATTATAACTTTTTAATAGCAGCTTTTATCGGAGCATTATGACTTTTTAATAGCAGCTTTTAACGGAACATTATGACTTATTAATATTTCATTACAAATTCCTCAAATTGTCCGGGACAAGCGTCACTCAATCAACGTGCCTATCAAATTTAGTATAAACCCATTAAAGGGTTTGGAGAAGTTGAAATCTGCTTTATCATGGTGTTGTTTCACCAAAATTATGGGATCGAGCAATTGCATTCGATAAGTAACATTCATGCCAATAATATTTATCAAAATTCTCCAATTACTTTCAAACAAACTCTTATCTTTATCATCTTAGGGTGAACCCTACCACATTTTAGAAACATCCATTCAGCCATTATGAAAAAGTAGTAGATTTAGTATAAAATATTTTCTATTCGACCCTTAAATGTATTGGGACTTGTGTTGGGACTTGAGACTACGAATGCTCCAATTCCTATGCGCTCACTATTATTAGCCAAAAAAAACCCCCAAAACATTCAGTGATTTGGAAGCATACAATTTGTAGCGTGTACCACGCGTATGCCATTAGATCACGGTAGATTTATGCAAAGGGTCAAAAGAGCTACCTATCAACCTTACATTATGCTGCATTACAGGCTCCAGAATTCATCATCGCCTCTTTGGAATGGCAGGAATGTAGTGAATAAAAAGTGTTTATTTATATAATACACACCTGATACTTCTCAATCTGAGTGCGCAAGTCCGACAGATGACTCAAAATACTCAGACACATTGCACATGTTTTCTGAGATTTGAGAGTCATACTACGGAATACATAATTATAATTATATAGTATTATAATGTATAATGATAGCTGAAATTTATGCAAGATAAGATTCGTTGATGTCTGGAACATTTTATGTTTTTTATTTTTACACGTGTAGGTCTACAGTCGCGAAAATACTTCATTTTTGTATGCTATCTCATTTAAAATTAATTATATCAACTTGGAAATGGCATATTCGTGTTTCTCGCCCCCACTACCCCAGAAACGACATATCACACGTGTTGTTATTGGTATTGAAAGAATACTTTTCGAGTCAATTTGAATTTGGCAGTCATATTGTATCAGGGGATCACGTGGCTAAGTGGGTAAGACGCTAGCTCGTTAGCCTGGAGGTCGGGTGTTCGATCCCTGCATTGGCCGAGAAAGTTCATCCAGATTCCCGGCGTGGTTCTCCCTTGTCAGTGATGCAGGATGGAGGGGCTGACAAGGAAAGCTGTCTAGTCGTTCGGATGGGACGAAAAACCGAGGTCCCGTGTACACATTGGCGTGCACGTAAAATATCCCTTGGCAGTTGGAATTCGATATAAGAGTAGGCCGTAGTGCCGCTGTCCAGGCAAAATTTCCCTCATAGCACACTCCATTTCATTTCATTTCATATTGTATCACCTGTTTGTGAAATGAATTGGAAACTTCCAAAATGAGTTGGGTGACCAACAAAACCTATAAAATGATATATTACACGTGCCATTTCGCCAACGATCTTGGCAAGGTCAAGTTCATACCATTTATGGTGGCCATCTTGGATTTCAGGCTCTCCTGGGGTTAGTCTGTAGATTTCATAAGAAGGGTTCCCTCTATCAGAAACCGTCGTCAAATTTTGTTCCCCGAGCAATGGTCAAGGATCTGTCAGTTGTGACCCGACTATATACGCTGTTCTTTGCCAGATTCTCTGTTCTGCACCACTGACAAGAAGGGATCACGCCGGACAATCCGATGAACTTTCTTGGCCAACGCAGGCTTCGAAATTTACAGGAGCTAAACCTCTAACTCAATACTGCCCATGATTTAAACACGATTAAAAAATTCAATATTGGTATATTTCAATCAGTGTTGAAGTTAATAAATTAATATCCAATTTTTAAGACCAATAGAAATTTTAAAATCAGTATGCGAGTTGTGTACTCCCTGGTTTCGGGTGCCATTTGGCTGATTTAATTTTAATCAGATTGGTGTCAAAACTTTTCAGGATGTATAAACCAGGATGCTGTAACCAGTGTCGTAGTTTCCTCAATTTCGATAAGAGGCTATATTTAGATACACGCCGGAAAACCCATTATCAAATGAGATATATTTATTCTACACATATCCTTATCACAATTCAAATTTTAGAGATATCAACGTGGCTCAGATTAGGTTAGAGTGGCTGCTATCGACATGAGTAATCATAGTCATTTATAATTTCTTGAAAATTGCCTATCGTTCCAAATTCTTTCTTATTGGTTTAAATATTATCGAAATATTTACTATTATAATTGTTATCATTATTATCCTTATCATTATTGAAGTATGTTTTTCACTTTATCCCACCACCCCGCACCAAAAGAAAAAAAAGACAAAAAAATCCCCCCAAAACAACTGTATATACTTTCATTTTTTGCCGAAATTATCAAAAAAAATTTGGTGTTAACACTGATTTTAAGGCAAGCTCGAGATTTATTCCGGAATGCCTAACCTATATTCCGTTATCATTCAAAGTATAGAAAGAAAGTACACTCTATAGAGAGGGCTGACAGTATGAATTCAATTTGGACAAGTTTCCTCAATCGATGGACATACCAATTTTGTCTTTCTGGCGATTCCCCAACATGAATAAACGTCCGTGAAAAGATAGTCGAATATTTGATTATTTGGTAATGTTCGTAATTATAATTACATGCAAACTTTAAGCGACACTGGTGTAAGCGAGGCCGACGTATGTGTGACATGGTTATATGGCTGCAGGTGATAATCCTCAATAATGAGAAGATTGTTGGACATGGAATCTTCTGATCTAGCCCGCAAACATTAAATCAACCCTCAATCAGTGGCACAGGTCGGAGGGCGCTAGGAACAGTGTCTAGTTGATTGGATGGTATGCAAAAGTCCCGTGTATACGTTGGTATGCACGCAAAAGAACCTTTGGCAGATGGAATTCAATTGTTGTCCGGACAAAATGTCCTTCATTGCAGACGTATGACCGTCTTCATTAGTAGACCGGTTTGCGCAGAAAAGTAGGACGTTAAACCCCATTGCATTTCATTTATCCATCGCTTTTCCTTCTATACACAGATTTATGAAACCTGTTAGTTACCGCGACAGCTTACTAGATACCCATTATATTGAGAACGTGGCCTTGGGTCATTTATCACTTGTTCTCACAATGTTTACCTAAATAATCAGAATACGATTGTTAAGACATAGTGTCTTTATTGTCTCAAGAGGTAATAATGATCATATAAAATATAGTAAATAAATAATTATGAAAATAGTAAACATGCAAATACACAAAATACATAACAACATGTGCAAATGATAAAAAATAATTTTGAATATATTAATATGAATATTTATCGCTGATGCGCGATAATTAAAAAGCTTGAGATGCGTTCTCATTATATAAAATGGAGGTTATGATGTAACCATATTTCGAGAGATCTGAAAGTTATTTGTTCCTCACATTCGATATGAACATGAAAGATTATTTTATCGAACGTGAACGATCTTTAATACTTGGTACAACGGTATAATTATTGATGATAATTAACATAGGTCTATTGTATCAATTATACCTTATAGTGCTATTTACGAATATCTAGTTTATAAATTATTTTTAAAACAAAATATATTTGAAATGTCTAAAACATTGAATGAGCGCAATAGTTAGCTGAATAAAACTATGAATATAAAATACAGCGTACTATATAGCTGGGCAAAATGATTAAACATATTAGAATCTCTTATCTAAATAATAAAAATACGGTTGTTAAAGGACCATATTAGTGTCAGTCATAATCATATATGAGATAGAACTGGTTAAACACGTTCAAAAAATATAATTTTAATACACAGATCATTGCTACGATAGATGCGTTTTCAAAAAAACCGAAGTGACGAACGCAAAAGGAAAACACGCGACACAAACTGGTCATTTCGGGACTAACACATGGTTTAATTTAATTTCAATAATTCACTTGCGCGTAGGGGTCTTTAGCAGTGGGAGGAAACCGGAGGACCAAGGAGAAAACACATGAGGTTGGGCAGGCGACCTTACTCCTTGTCACGTACAACCGGGGATTTGAAAACATGCCAGTTGACTCAATGACAGGCCTTATGGTACAGCGCACGTGCTAACCATTCGGCCATCCAACCCCCCTGAGTGATAACAGATACACGGCCGAATTTCTGCTCACTAATAATTCCTTCGAAGACCAAAAGTTGTCATGTCAGGCTGTGAGAGGATATATGATAATTTAAAAAAAGAATCGAATGTCACTAAAGGAAAAACGAGAAAAATAGAAATAGTCCGTACATTCCCTTGTTTTTATTACTTCTATATTTAATAAAAACATAGTAATGAACGGACTTTTTCTATTTTTCTCGTTTTCTCTTATCTAGTGACAGTCAATTATTTTTTTTTTAAATTGTCAGATATCCCCCCACAGTCTCATACAAAAACGTTTGGACTTTGAAGGAATTTTTAGTGAGCAGAAATTCGCCCGTGTATCAGTTATCACTCGTCACTTCAGTCATTTATATAGACGGATATCTCGTGTTTTCCTTTTGAGTTCGTCACTTCCGTTTTTTGAAATCATCATTTAACGCCTCTATCACATATGTGATAATGACTGACACCAATATTGTCCTTTAACACAGTCATGCTGTCTTTAATGTCTCAAGAGGTAAAAATGATAATACAATATAGAGAAAATATGCAATGAAAACGGTAAACATTAAAATAACGCGCAAATAATAAACATGCCAATAATAAATATGCAAATAATAGTTATGCAAATATGTAATAATTGAAATACGCAATAAATATATATCAAGGGTCAATAATAAAAGAAATTATGAATATATTAATATTATGAATATAATAATTCTGGATCGCTGATGCGCGATAATTAATACGCTTGATAAGATGGCAGATCTAAGCTCCGATTTACATGTACGCGTTTCAGTGGCGTTCCCGTGCAAGTTTTCACCGGTTACATGGATACGGCTCCATTACATTTGAATTAGACCAACCTTTTCGCTGGAATGCTGCGAAAACACATACATGGAAAACGGGCATTAGTTAAAACTGCGATTGTGACTGTTAATGATTGTATTTTCAGAAACACCAAGATCATGATAATAAATGCACTAGAAGATAGACCCAGTGCAGCCAAAGTTCCATAATTCGTTTCTAATGGAGAGGATTAGGTTATAACCCAGACAAAGACATACTGACATTTGATAACAAGCATGACCCCGTGTGAAATACGGGCGTTTTCCATTCAAATCAGTATTTTAATTTCCTGTTATGTTCTGGTTAAGAACGTATTAAAAGCGCCTTTAAAACGTCGCAATACTGTATTACAACAGGGAACATCAATAGGCCTAATGTAAACAATAATATCAAAGAAGGCGCTAGTGACGTCATCAATTCTACTCGACCTTTCAATATGGCGTCTAGAAGCTTTTATATGATGTGACTAAAATTGTTGTCAGTAGTATTAAAGTTATTATCTGAATTACAATATATTTACATAAGTAGTATAATTTTCTAGGTAAAGTTGGATCGCATCAAAACAAAATTTGAGTTGTTCCTGAAATAAAAAAAAAGTTAATGTAAATTCTAATATTCTATAATATCAGGTTCACAATAGCATTGCTAGCGGGTAATGGTTTGTTTAATCAACAGACTAAAATAAATTAAATCACCTATCCATCTAATCAAAAAATGATAATATGTTTCTTAAATTTTCTGAAATCTGTTTTGCATGCTGCAAAAATGCATAATATAAAACTTACATAAGATGTTATAATCTGTGGTCTGGAAGCTCTAAGTTGTACTATTGTCTGTAATACACTGACATCTTGTTCTATTGTTAATCTCTCTAATATAGCAGTCAATACACAAAATATACCTCCTTTAGTAACACCATCCCTAATATACAACAAATACACATTTAAAATCAGTTTAAGAATAAACAGTCAAATCTCTTGTGAAACCTTTTGTGTATAAAACCTACAATTTAACAAATTTTCAAATCATTAAACTCCAATATTAATGTATGAAACCTTTTGTGTATGAAACATTCCGTTTAAATATATTTTCAAACATTCTTTCTCATAATATACTAATATCGGTAATAATTTTTAATGTGTTTCCTTACTTACCGACAAACAACAACCAATGGATTACTATTTTCGTAACTTGACTTAACATGTTCAAGTACATTAATCAATGAAATGAAGGATTCTGGTGTCTGTTGTTGATCGTTCCAGAATTTACATTCGTATACTTTAACTGTTTGATTTACATTTACCTGTAAAAAATGTGCCAATGGTTGATTACTAGTCACACGGCAATACAATATGCAAAGAACGAACGTGTAGAGCAAGAAGCGACCAAAAATATAATACTCCTGGTTTGGAAAATAGTAACAAAATATATTGGTAAACAGATGAACAAAACACAAACAGAACACGAATACAACATACATAGATACAAACTAGGTGAGAAGGAACTAGAAAACTACAACCAATACTAGATATTCCAGGAATATAAATCATTCCTGCAAATTGCATGGCAACGTACAAATTCTAGATTATATTCAAATCTTTAGAGGCAATGAGAATGCTTGGTAAGTGTACAGACTACTGGAAACCATGAAAATGTTTCTCGTTAAACATTATCACATTTATTGTACATTGATCAAGATGTATTAGTTCACCACGGAAATACCTTCGCCACATTGCAGTTATTGCAAGACATAGCACGCACTTAGGATTTTAAAGATGGCCTTAAAATCGTGAGCTATTGAAATGACAAAATATCATTAAGGTGAAAGTTGGTCAAATGATGACAAAGATCTAAAACTAACGGATATGTAAAGGATGTTGATGGTTCTCATAACCCAATAAGGATGTTTATTACGTTGACAGAAGTCATCCAAATGATCTAAACACTTCACCAACGTCTCCCCAGATCAAACAGGGAATTTAGATAGGTTATCTAACTTTTTGATAAATAGGCTCTAGACTCTTAAATTTCGAAAATCATATTGAACTTACGTCTATATCACTTCCGATTTTATAGCCCACTATTGAATAATCATCTTTATTCTGCGTGTCACTAGATTTGGTAATAGAAAAATCACCGCACATCAGCTTGGTTTCCGGAAGATACTGACCTATATCCTAAATATATATAGAAATAAATATACACGTATTGAACTACTAATAATAAAATGATCATTGGTGGAGATTTTTGCGCTATTGGATTTCAACCAGAAGCTCTTTACTCATTTGGTGAACGTGTCTTCAGGCCTAAACAAGTTTTACAGCTATCATTCATTGCATTAAAATTGATTAACGGTTTAAATCAACCTTCTTTCGTGTTTATAATTTTGGTAGTAATGCAATATTCACCCTCGATATTTCTTGACCATGATCTAGATCTACGATTATGTAAGATTCAGTTTGTATAACCATTCTCCAGAAATCTATAACAGTATCTGGTAATGGTGTCTGTGTTAATATATACGCTTGTTTCTTTCTGTAACTCTGTAAAACAAAAAAAATAATAAGACTTCCGCCTGATGTTATTTTAGAATCTAGATTGTTAATTTACATAAGATACCATTTACTTACATTTATATAAATTGTTAATTTATAAATGTATCATCTACTTACATGTATATAAACTTTTAATGTATAAAGGTATTATTTGCTTACAGGTATAGGTATCAATTATTTACATCAATTATATATATTGATGTATACAGGTATATAATATGTTAATGTATAGAGGTATAATTTACTTACAGGTATATACACAGCGTTGATATAATCAGTTCCGCTATCAATAGCTGATATAAATGGTCGTACGCTTTCACCTACATTTAAGAAGAAACAAACCTCTGCATTTAAGCTATTCGCTTAGTTTGAGAAATACAACAACCGTTTCCACGCCGTAAGGGCTTCTAAGGATAGTATTCAAATTAGCCAGCCATATCTACCAACCAGAAATGAAATGGGGTTAAATGTCGCAATGATCTGCACCAACCAGGTTGTGAAAACATGAGCTAAGAGGGAATTTTACCAGGAGCGCATGCAAATGCGGTGTCCCATCCCATCTTAACAACTAGACTATGTTACATGCTAGGCCTTCTGTCATGTATCACAGCCAACAGCAGTGAGAATATATTGAAAATATTTATATGCACTATGTAAATTGATGATTGGTGCTCTCAAATTTCTTATTACGTGTACTGTACTTACTGGCTAATATTGCCCTGTTTCTGTTTTTATTTTTATTTTCATCTAACAAAGCTGAATAACAATCATCCTTCGTGTGCACTGGACTGACCTTCTTCATCATCTGTAATACCCGACAAAATCAGTACATATATAAATATCATTAGTTCGAATACAAAAGGGACTACTAAATGATACTGCATTAATATATGTGAATTTCTACCACATGTATCAAATAAGTATCAGCGTCCAGATCATATACGGTATTATTTGGGTCGAGTCGTTTAGGAAGCACAATTTTATTTATGCACCTAGTATAGGTAATTTTACAGTCTATATTAACCTAGTTCCATTCTCAAATAGCGCGAATCAGAATATTCCCACTTACTTCAAATTTTTGTTCCAGGAGACATTTTCCAGATGTTTGCATTTTAAGCAGATCTTTGTAGATTGTCTTGTAATCAGCTATAGATGTTGTTATGTTTCCAGCTATATACCATTCTAAGATTCCCTCGTGTAAAAATATATACTGATCCTACAATAATTTAACATTGATTTAAAATTAAAGTAACATAATGGACTCCATTTCCACTTCATGACTTAAAATGGGGTTGGACTGTCGGACTAATACCCTTTTAACATGAGAACGGAAACAGGATTTTAAGAAAGGCAATAAGTAAATCACCTACCAATGTCTGAATCATATTGACTCTTTCTGTTCTCATCCGTGATACACACCGAACAACATCTACTGAATCTCCAGCTTTACCTTCTTCAATAAGATAATCTAAAGCTAAAAATGTTCCTGTTCTTCCTATACCAGCACTGAAATATAATATGACACGATAAATGGTAAGACAATAAGCGATCATACGATATTCGGAAACTGGCCTTCCTATAGCAGCACTGCTATGTAACATATAAACACATCATATATGCCTAATGCTAGAACAATACTTGTTCTTCCTATCCCGGTACTGCAAAAATCTTCCCAGTTCTGTAATACAGTAAGATATTATGGTATTTCTCTGTTAATTTTGCACACAATATCTCATTCGGATAATTTCCGAATAGCGACCATACAGGATTGATATCTGTTGTGTCCAAAAGAAGATTGGTTTCAATGTCATATTAATTATGTTTTGTTTTCCCACATGCAAGCTAAGAATACCACATGAATTATTCAAGTGGTTGTTGTTTATTACAATAAAAACGTCCAATGCATTATACATATTCTTATGGACAGGAAGATTTAATTAATATTGCTTACAAATGAAGCTATTGACCGAAGACTTTGTCTGAAGTAACATCTGATTTTAGCATAATCAAATTGCGTTAAAAATTTTATGAAGTAAAATTAGCATATATCATTTTGTCATTCTTATAGGATAGACCAAAAGTAATATAAAATAAATTCATCACTAACCTACAGTGTACGATCATTGGTCCAGGATGTGGAGTTGGTGATTTGTTCACCTTGTTTCTGAATTCTACCAATGATGCTGCATCAGCAGGAACACCTTTATCAGGCCAGGATGTATAATGGTATTGTATAATGGTCCTTGGTTCCCACCCCTCCTGTTAAAAATTGTAAATGTCTTGATAACAAAGGACAATATATTCTTTGTGGTATAAACTTAATAGTAACAATTTGCGTTGGTATTTGTCAACGTAGATTAAATTGCGACAAGTCATATAATATGTCTTGAAATTCGATTTAATTATTTGATATCACTGCATTTAATGTGGTTATAATAAATTAAAGAATACATTGTCATTATCTTAAGTATTCTTATTGTCTGACTTCCTATCGATACTAATATTGGACTGTCTGTCTGTCTGCCTGTCTGTTCAGGACTGGCGACTACACTTGGATTGTCCCAAGGGAGGTTGAATTTGGTGTATAGGGATAGCCCGGGCCGAAGTGGACTACCGCTTCTGGTTAAACTACTTTCAACCCGTGCAGCGCCGGGTCATCCGCCAGTTGATAATATTATTACATTCCACCGAACAGATTTAAAGAAGGCAAGTCTCAAATTCAATACCATTGACAGTCTTCGGCATTGCAAATACGACTTATTGGTCAGTTTAAATCAACATTGATGTTGTTATCTTTCCGTGAAAAGGTGGGCTTCTGATATCCAATATTTAAGACAAAATGAACATTTTAAAATTGGCACCTAGATCGCGTACCAGAATGCTTTCGGGCGCAACTTGTAACGAAGCGACTCGATGAACGAGTACTGTTGAAAAGATCTGGAGAAAATATAGGTACACAACTAGCAGTCAATACATACCAATTTCTTCATTTAGAATGTCGCTCCTTGTACGAAGCTGACCTATTTCGAGTTCTACTGTGTAAAATTCATCCAATTTGATGTATCACCAAACTATTTGCAGTGTAGTAGCATGGGGGACATTAATTAAGGGTGTGGTAATTATGCAAAGGTGAATACTTCTAAATACAAACTTTTTAATATAGTATGGGGTTCATGTAAATGGATATAATCGGTGTTTAGAACTATTGAGTCAGCTTCAAATACATTGTAAGACATTTTGATATGGTTTTTTTTTCATTTTGCTGTGAGTGCTGATTTAACTGGTATCTTACTGACCGTTCGAACTAATTCCAATCTTTCTTTGCGTGCACTTTATTACTTAAAAACTGCACATGAAATATTGCAAGTATTACTTACTTTAGTTATTTCTAACGTTCTTATTGTGAAGTGTGCAAAGATATCTTCCGCTAAAACTTTCACAGAGATTTTCTTGAACGATTTAGTTTTTCCATTCATCGGCCAGTATTCCAAACACTTTACCTGCCAAATAATGAAAAATTGCCTTGTATCTAGGAGACGGGGATATTATCTGGCAAAATCTACCTGAGTATATATGGCCAGTTAACTTATTTTTTATATCATATTTGACATGCGATAATGGAAACTTGAGTAAAAATGAGATATTGGTACGTGAGTAGAAATGAGATATTGCGATGTTAGTGGAATGAGATAATGAGATGTGATTTAATTAATCAGGCATTTAGATGCGGCTAGAAATAAGATATTAGATCCGGCTAGAAATAAGATGCGAATAGAAATAGGTATTTAGATCCGGCTAGATATAGATATTTATACGCGAATAGATAAAAGATATTTAGATGCAAATAGATATAAGGTATTTAGATGCGAAAAGATATAAAGTATTTAGATGTGGATATAAATAAGATATTTAGATGTGGATATAAATGGTATTGAGCTGTAGGTAGAGATGAAATGTAAAGTTGAAATGTAAAGTTGAAATGTCCATTGCACAAATGCACTGTCATTTGAAATTTACCAATATTTACAGTTGAAACATTCCAAAGTTACAATCTAAAAGGCTACCAAAATAAAACAGTACATACAACACCGAGTTCTTGTGAATTGGTAACCATTACAATTTTTCCTGTTTTCACATCCCATATCAACCGCATAAATTCGTTAATATTAACATCGTTTGGACCTGTGATCAATTTTATTAAAGGTACAACAAATTGTTAATCTTTAGCAACGAAAACTCCTGTTTTTATTTTAACAAAACAAATGATTTAAAGCCACAGAATAGGCTTCCCACTCCCATAAACTGATTAAAACAAGCCAACAGTGAGGCTGATGTCCCCCGCCGAAATTCCCAAATAAATAGATGACACATATTAATCAATCGTACATTTATTTTTTTTTTTCAAAAGTATCAAGAAATCAAACTGATTATCAATTATACACTAAGTGTCATCACTCTCTATCAGATAGAATCAAAGTCATCTTGTCCCAAAGCATCGACCAATGAAATTTCTTAGCTCTGCTTAGCTTTAGCTCAAAATGTTAATCAATGAACCTAATGAACATCTACGTCAAGTTTAAACATTCTACCTCAATTAAAAGCAGAGTTGTTATGTTCCAAAGTCTTGACCAATCAAATTGCTTAACGAAAATTCTCATTATCGAACTTAGTCAAGGTAATGATATAATGAATCTATACTCGAAGTTTTATCACTCTCACCTAATTAAAACCAAAGTTATCATGCCCCAGAGCATCAACCAATCGATTGCTTATCTCTGCTTACCATGTTCATCATCGAACTCCATCAAGGCATTCACTTAGCTTTGTAAATATACCTTTGTAAATAAATATATTACTTAAATAACATAAAATTATTTTTACCTTGTGAAGCTATATATTTATTTTTGACATTACCATAACCCTGCAAGAAATAAACGGCATGTGAAATAATACACTTAAGTTAATTAATCAATTAATACATGAATGTACTTAATTTTTATGGACGATATATGCTATCACGGTTTATGTACTTGACTCAATGCTGTTGTTGTTTACCCAATTCTAGTGTTATATCAAAGAGTTGAAACTATGGGTCAATTACTCGATTTGACTAGGGTAGATTTTGAGAAATTATACCTATTCACATTGTACAAAATTGTTGCAAACATCACGTTCAGGATTTAGACCATTGATATTTTGAAAACTGACCCGAAGACCGATGGGGTTATAAATCTGGCGTAAAACAAACAAAATAATTTACTTACAGTGATATAACAGGCATTGACATAATCTGAAGTGGGATCATTGTTTTCAATCTCCAATTTAACTCTAGTATGATCAACTGTGCGCAATAAAAAAAAATCACATAAGAACGTATTTATCAGATTTTTAGAATTTTAAAATATTAGTTCCAAGAATTGAAACAGTTTGTGTTTTATTGCAGTTTACATTTCAGTTTGCTGGTACGTTTAGAACCCAAGCTCCACAAGCTTCCAATGGTGTCACACCTAATAATGAGAATACGCTTAATTCATTTTGTTCAGCTAACAAAAAAAAAAAAAAAAAAAAAAAATAACTTACATGCACATATATCCTTGTATCTATTCTTAGGTCGATTTATTTTATTCAGACAAACATCATGAGGCGAACATAGGCCTTTTGGTAGATTCTGAAAAAAACCTCACCAAATTCACAGTCAACTGAAAATGGTTTGAACTGAACATGGGGTCGGTGATAAACACAAATTTTACAATTTCTTGCCATTTTCATATAAGAGATGGAGTCTATGTTATGATAAGATAACAGATACAAAAAACCCCAACAAATTCAGCCACACATCATTATTTAGTATTCAAATGGTTTGCAAGACATTGCTTTATAGAAGTCTAAATGTTTTGTTAAAATATGAACATATATATTATGTACCTCATATTCTGGTTTGAAAGTTTTTGCCGTTTTCTTTCTTTGAATTATTTCCCACAAATCTTTCAATTCAATGCGGGTAGATGGTAGATTTTCATATACACCAGAATTAGGTAAGTTAGAATACATTACTACTTCATTACCGCCTTCACTAACTTCTTCTTTAAAGATAAATTATTGTTTGTTTTATAATTTCATACACACCAGAATTAGGTAATACATTAACAATTTATTAACAGTTTCAATATTGCGTCAATATCAATATTGCGTCAATATCACTTTAATATTGCGTCAATATTAATTCAATCTTAAGATAATGAAATATAATAATATATCGTCTCATAACTTTATCTTATAGTTTAACTCAGTAAACACTTACACCAATTACATGTTCTATTTAAAGAATTGGAATACATCTGATTTATTATTTTGTCTTTTGCTCGTAAACTTGCCCTTCTTTTTTTTTTTTGAAGAAGAAGAAATGGAGCAGTCGTTATCGATGTTCAAAGTTATGTGCAATTTAAAACAGTGTCGAAATTGGTGGTTGAAACCCTTGGTCGGTATTAACCGGACCGGGTGCCTCAAAACAACTACACACACATATAAAGTAAAGAATACAAGCTAATGGCAGAGGGTGCGATTATTCTTTTTAGGAACCCATGTTATATTTGTTTATAATTCAACTTTTTCAAACACACTAAATAGGTTAAATGAAAACGTCTTCAAATGAATTAAAAATAAATATTCATTCAATAGCTTTACCAGTTTCATTTTCACTGTCTGTTACAGTGGGCTGTTGATTGTCCTTCATGTACCTTTCTCTGAAAAATATCGAAAATTAAAGTTATACAAAAGCTAAACGAGTCGTGATTTCTTCAACACTGGGGATACATTTTCAAGGTATGGTTATCAAAATTCCCCTTTACTTAAAAAATCTTAAAATTCCAGAGTTACCCAACAACGCAAGATTTTCAATATGATGTGCCAATCACAGTTTTAAGGTTCCTTTAAAATACAAATCAGTCGACCTTGTGATAAGATTTGAACTCATGTTTCTTTGATGAAAAAGATAAGTGATGTATCGTTAATATTTGTATACCACGAAACAGTAATACTATTAATTTCTCAAACAGCAAGTATGGTAATACGAAATATAATATTCAAGAGATCGTAACGTATTTAATGATACGGTATATTTGTGTATGGTATATTGTATTATTGTATTTGTATTGTATTGAACACAACAGGTGATGACAAAGGCACTTGTTTTGATAAAATACTTAACACTTTTACTTTTACTTCCATGTTTGTTGTTTCATCGATTTGGTATATTTTACATACACGTTTTAAAGGAGAATGTGAGTTACATTTGTTATCTTCTTACCAATCTGATTCGTTTCGTTTTTCATACTTTCGATGGCCGTAACGACAAGTTAAACAAAATGCTGAACTATAAAAAATGAAACGAAATAAGATCTGTGTTTTAATCAGACTGTCTTCTTACCTTATTTTCACACCAATGAAACTAACCACACCAACCACGGTAAGAATAGCAAGAATAGCTACAGCAGGATGTGCCCCATCGGGTTTGGGGGTAGCTTTAAAAGAACATAATTATTTTGTCAAGATATTTATCTTACATTTTTTTTAAATGTTGACTAGAAAAAGAAACCTAGTCAAAATATTTCAAGGGAAGTTAACATGGTAATGTAAAGATGTTCTTTCGATAAAGCAGAAGCAGCCGAGTCTATTCTTTGCTCAGTATCCAGACACATAGATGTCGATCACCAGTGTTACAATTTGGCGAATGTCCGAGTCAAATTAATGCTGATGACGTCACCGTTAAAATAAGCCTCAGCGGGGTCCATCAGTTAATCTGCAGCCCTGCATGCAGCCCTGCGAGAACCTTAATCTGGGGACACGGATATAACAATGGAAACAAAACGTTGATGCGTTGATAGTGGAGTGGCATGTTTATTAGCTTTGATTATACAAATTCTTGTTGAGACTAGCGTCTCTGGTATTCACGTATACTTATTAGCACCGATTTCATTTGATACATACTAGAAACAGTTCTTCAGCCTACTGAAATAAGTTTTAACATTCTACATTTTTGCATCTACTGGGCTATTGTTGACGGGACGAGTATAAATACATATAAATAAATACAAAATACCTTCACTGCACATTAGACCTATAAATCCATCCTCACAACCAACATGTTCACAACTGCCACTTGTTGTATTACATGGTGTACCTCTAGCGCATCGTCCACAGGCGTTAGCACAATTATCTCCATAATATCCAGCACTACAATCTAAACATATACAAAATATAAATCATTTACAACATAAATGACGTAATGTATTACTTTGGAATGGGGTTTTATAATTGGACGTTTGTAGAATTATCACCATAATACAATACAATCTTAAAATATATAATACTAGCGGATGAACAGGTGCTGCACGCTATCTAGCTTATGTTACGCCCTGGTCCGAGGTACCCATATATACCAAATTTCAGCCTCTGACCAGCCCTAGTGTAGCCGCCAACCCTGAACAGACAAACAAACAGACAAGACAAACGACAGTCACAAATATTCACATAATGACGTAATGTATTATTGGAATGGGTTTTTTAATCGGATGCTTTGCTGGCATTTAAACATAATACTTATAATTATAATTCACAATAAATTCTATAATTTTATTATATTTACTTTCAGAACAATAGTTTCCCTTCTTTCCAGCAATGCATCCAAGGGAACAATTTCCGGTCATCTGATCACATGATGGTTTTGTGCACTGTTCACTGGATGTGGCATTGCAAGAGGTCGACGATGCAATATTCCGTGGCTTACAGGTAAAACTACAAATTTCATTACACGATGTTCTCCATCTTCCATCTTTACATTCAGTACAGGAGTTATCATCATCTTGTTTACAATGAATACAATTATAATTACAGTTTTTATCACAATATTCTCCACTTTTACCTTTAATACATCCATTAATACATGTACCATTATATCTATCACATCCACCATTACATGTAATAGTACAATTCTTATCACATCTATCACCATATCTTCCCATAATACAACTGGTACATCTACCCTTTCTATCACATGTTATATTACCTGTGATTGGTTGACATCCACTACCACATGTTGAATTACAATATGGACCTACTGTATTAGGTTTACACTGACGACACATACCGCTAGATTTATCACACACTGCAGAGCAATTACTGGAACATTTTGATCCACAAGTTCCGTTTGATTTAGAACAGTTATTATTTAAACAACCAGTACTACAGTTCTGTTGACAGTTGTCACCATATTTACCTTGTTGACAAGTCTCACATTTATCTCCAGTAAAACCCGATTTACATGTATTACAATTACCAGTTGTTGAATTACACAATCCATCTTTACAGTTAATATTACATTTTTTCTCACAGTCTTCACCATAATTACCATCTGGACAACCACCTGTTGATAAAGAGATTAGCTATGTGATGTTAAATGTGAATGGAACGACAATGATACCTTCATCGGTAAGCATACTGTTTTGTTTTATGGAAATTTTCAGTAGGTTTAAATACCGTGCATGTGTATTTTAACATTGGCTTAAGATTCTGTGATACATTCATATATTATTTTGTTGGCATTCTAATCGTAACTCGTTTTCACGTGTTCCGTGCTCAAGTCTTTTTAATCCATATTTTGTTATCACGTTTAAATAATCATATCAGTTTAATTTACCTTTAAATACTTGTACTTCACACAGTGTAAGAGCTTGTTTTGGTTTATTTTGAATAAAAACAAATCTACCAGATAAAGATGTTGATGATGTTTGGTTACATCCTGCTATGTTATAAACTGTGTGGTTTTGATGTGAAGTATCTGTATAACATGATCTAGCTGATTCCAATCCTGTTCCATTACATTGACCTGTATTACTTAACTTCATTGTAAATCCCCGAAGTCTTCCTTGTACTAAAAAGAAATAATACATAGATTGAACAATTTACAATAAAACATGATTCTGTCCGATTTTACTTTAATTCTGTTTGTACATGTCCATATCCAGGTGTGAAAAGCCGTGAAACAAATTATAAACTTAATACCCTTGAAGAATTGATAATGGTTCATATTCTCACTCATTGTAGTAAGTCATTATATTACACGCATATTACTAGCTATACATTTTGAACTTAATTATATTTATAAATTATTCACAAAACTATGTATAATTATATTAATATTGTTAAAAATATATATTGTAGATCAATACACCACCATACATTAAATTATAGTCATTCTACTTACATATATTTCTGTTATATAATTTAATGTTGTTAATAATATAGACATGTTTTAGATCAACACACCACCATTCAATGTCACCGGTACCAGTATGAGTACAGGAAAGATGGTTAAAATGACTATCAGTATTATTATCTACAGCATGAGGTGAGTCTCCAGCACCTTTTGCTTGTGATGAAGAACTTTGTTTAGTTGGTTTGTTTATAGCCACATTCCTAAAAACTGTAATATAACGTGAAATGAAATGAAATGGGCTTGGTTTTTTTTAAAAAAAGATACAATACTAAAATTAAGTTGTATCGCCGTTTTCCATTTTAAAAAAAAATGCCAATATTGATACCATTTGTATCTAACAATATTAATGCATAACATCGAATACACTTAGAAAAAAGATGCTGAGAGCTATACATACTGTAATTAAAGATGCAATATGTCAGATTTAGGTAAATGAATACATTGAAGATTTCATTCAAATTACTGCACCCTAAGCGCAGTTACGAGTGTTTGAGGTTTTGACAAGAAATAGCCGATTGTTTAGTATTATTGTCATGATAATAAACACAGTCTTGATTGTCAATCCTAATATTGAGTGACGTCCATTTTAACTGTAGTATCACTGATTAAACGACGCGCCAATCTCATGCAGCCATCCGATGATCTAAAGAGTGGATTATGGATCAGTCATATTAATAAATGTTTAAATAATAATTTAGGAAACACTTGAAGCCAGAAAAAAACCCTGCAATGGGCATATTTAGCTCTTACATATTGTATATTTAAAGTAGCTAAGTCTCTAACTCAATATCATCCAAAGTCGTACACGTTGAAAATACGAATTATGTGTCAATTCAAATCAGCATTGATGTTGTGATCTTTAAACCAGGAAAAGGCAGGCTTCTGATATCCAATATTTAAGAAAAAATAAATATTTTACCATTGGTACACGAATCATTTGCAACAAGTGACCAGAAAGAACGAGGCTAGACATATTCAACTGGAGAGCCTGCTGAATAGACTGGAATAACCAGACGCTAGAAATTGCTATAGGGATGAGACACATGGCTTATTTCGCTGGACATAACTGATTTGAAATTAGAGTCAAAACGGAAACAATTGAATGTAAATCAGTTTATATACAATCAGATTACATTATTATATGCGTTGCGACCCATTTGGGTCAATTTCTAGGTCCCAAAATATTAGCGATTTAGCTCATTTAATCACGGGTCTGTAAACAGACGAAATTCATTGTATTACGTATAGTGATCTGATACACATCCGCGTCGGAAACAAACCCTTTCGTCAAAATAACACAGACCTCAAAATGAAGGACTGTCTTACGTTGACTAACTACTTAATTGTAAGTATAATCTATAACAAACTTTTGTTGTTCTATATACTAGGGTTACTAAACACACAATTTGACCTGATATAGGTCCATATATTATTTATACCGGATATATTCATCAAAATGAATCCGCATATTTAATGAATCAGTTCTCAATGGGTGGGTTAAATTTACTTATTCAGTATTACTATCGACGACTTATACGCTTGAATACCATTGCTAGGGTGACCCACCATAAATAAATATCTCCATATATCTCCTTATATCTCGACAATTACGCCACAATATTTATATATATGCCAAGCCTCAAATCAGTTTCACACAATTATAGTCACTAAATAAACGATCATGTTGTACTTAATAAGCTATGACCATTAATCATCTATAAATAATAGACTGAAAACTGGTTCCAAGTGTCGTCCATAACATCCAGACACTTTTGAGTAAAAGATAGGTTACGTGCCCTTGTTTTGAAATTGTCTCGCTTAACCAGTCTATCGACCACTCTACGTCTGATTGACAGGTCGGGATAATCAAGACTACTTTTTTACGAAACATAACAGAAAGCTAGAACAAGAAATTGAATTTAGAAATAAGCACGTTAGGTAGCTCAACAATCGTTTTAAGAACCTTGTAAAAGTAAAATGAAACTACTGCTAGTATCATGTTCCTGTCTAATCCGAGTGATTCAGAGATATTATTTGTACTAAACCAAAAGATGCCGCTCTTAACGGTACAGTTAATGATAAAGCGATTTAAAAAATGAAACGAACGTAATTTCTAAATCTGCTGTAATAACCAAGAAGCTTAATTTCACTGCTATTCAAAATCGTCAACAATAAATTTTTTACGGCTGTAATAGTTGATAGATTTGTAGAGAATTGCACGTGCCATGGCTATTTATAGTATCATACTGTCAGAAAGTTGGTCTCGGCACGGCGAATGTGTACGCTTCAGTGGTAGTCTCGAACTATCAGCGGTGGACTTTATTTCTGTAGAGCACATGGGCCACCCTACCATTGCAGATTTACTACAATAAAACAACACGACTTTAAAGTATCTAGAATGTACGCTTGGGAACGAAATCTATATACAACGAGGATGGTGTCATTTTGATCAAGTAACTACAGGGGAGGATACAGAGGGTTTACGGGGGTGCGCCCCCTTTAATGATTGACAATTTCTGTTTTTGATATGCCTTAACTACAATAAAAACGTTTCTAGGGATTAAGAGTATTTACGATATTATTATCCGCATCAATTTTACAATGGCATATTGTTCATTTATTTATCCATATTTAGGGTTCTCGTATACGCTTACCAAACTAATCTAGGCAGTCTGAAAAGTGTTTCGTTTTTTTTTAGGGTTTATGGGATTTTAATTACTATTCAAAAACAGCTCCTGGCGTGGATTGATCATTCTGAAAAATAGAATTTAACTACTGTTTTAAGAAATTTGTTTCGCATGACTCGTTCCGTCTGGTCGTTTATACGTATAAATATACAATGTGCTTTTATATACTAACTTTGCTTGGCTTGTTCGAACACATAAATATTCAATTAACTTACGACTAGTTCTGATCTGTTAATATATAATATTGTATAAAATGTTATAAAATCTCAAAACCCTTTATTATATAAAAACGTAGAAGGTTTATATATATCAAGATTTCGGAAATAAGAATGTAACAAACTGTTTACATGTAAAATTACTTTTTGGAGTTCACTTGCCGTGGGTTTATTCCGGGAAACATCGTTAGAAAAATGTCCAAAAATATTTTGCCTCACCACGTTCGGCAACAACCTCGTTTGCATCCCCACTCCTATTAAAAAAATTCGTGTATTTATCCTAAGATTGTGTTGTTGTTGTTTATTACAGATTTAACGTCCAATACAATGAATATGATATTATGGACAGGTTGATTTAAATAAATTATTTACATTTGAAAATTGTTAAAAACACAAAATAAAAAATAAAAATTAAAGGGTCCTCCGATTCCAAAGTTTCTTAAAGCACACTTATAAATTCGCTGTCGTGAGAAGAGAGGGCGGGTCATCTTCTCCCTTTGTCATAATAAAGTTAAAACAGGAGGTCCAACTGACTGGTGTTTAGCGTCATCAGGGCGGATTGAAAAAAAAACCGTGGGGAAAACCCTAAGATTATGGCATTCGAAAATAAGAGCACAGTCTTCACCCAATGATCACGTCGTTACTCACATAATTTCAATGTATCAGTAGGTCAAATTTCGAACAATGGGCGAAAGATTGATATACCGGTAGGCTACAAACGAATTAAGGATTTTGAACATAATACGACTACACAAAAATAAATTAATGAAAACAAGATTATCATTGCTTTTGGTTGTAGGTTTCGGATGGTATTTCAAACGAGGTCTAATATCAATGACATAATATGTACGTAAATAAAATTTATTCTGATTTATATATATATACTTATATTATATATATATATATATATATATATATATATATATATATATATATATATATATATGTTCATATACCTAAATCTTAGAAATTCTTGTAAACACGTTACAGGGATACATTTAATACAAGTATTTAGGATAACCTGATATAAACAATGTAGATGTGTAGGAGCAAGGGTATAATATATTAAAACAAAGGATGATATTACACTGACTAATATATAATCAAATAATTACTTATTAATATATATTTAACTTACCAGTTATGCAGAAAGCTTGGTTCAATAAATAGAAAGTGATCAGCAGCGTTTGGGAATCCATTCTATCACAATCAACCCTAGGTCTCAAGTAAACCAGATTTTATGAAACAATTCCCACAAATCGTAAACCAGGAAGAAAGAATAGAACTAAATATATTATACTAACGATGATATTGTTATACAAGCACTATGTATATTGTACACTAGGCATCCAACTATGTATATGGGGACCAGGCAGTTAATTAACAAAGTAGCTTGTTCCGGAAAGCATGTTATATCTATATATTTATTATGTTACAAAATAAAAAAATATACATTTGTTGTATTACAGAATAAACAATTATTCATTTGTTATATTACAGGATAAAAAATATACATTTATTATTTTAATGAATAAACAGTTTGACATTTACAGAATAAACAATTAAACATTTATGATTCTAAAGCATAGCCAATTAATATTTTTATAATAATGTGCACAAAGGCGTCACCTCACGTTGCAAATATTGATGATAGAAAATGTTAAGTAATGATTAATCTATCTATTATAAGCACAGCTTTCATTACATTTGTGCATAGACGCATGAGGACAATTTCGCATTATTTTACCATTATCATTTATATGCCACATAAATCTTGTAATAATAGCTGTTAGCTGTTTTGTAGTGGTGGACAAAAAAGTACAAAATTAATTTGTTTGATTTCCATCATTTTTGAAAATTGTAATATACGGATAGAAACAAAGGTGCATAAGCACAAGTAAAATGTTAATAAAGATATCGTTGACACCTCTTTTATTCCCTTCCAATATTTACATATGCAGAGACGTGTTCCAATGTCTTATAATAAGGATCAGCTACACCACCGTGGTCATTTGAAGCTTGTTCTAATGTATCGTAAGTGTTTTCTTCCGTAACAACTGGACTGACGTAGGTATCTGGACGATTATTATATCTATAACCAGGTGTTTCTCTAGCTGGTTTAGGTGGAGGCCTTCTAAAAAGAAAGAAATATT